GGCTCACCCCAAAGTACTTTTCACCCTGCCCCACACAGTTGATGCCTTTGACCTCATTTACATACCCCTCCATTTCTTTCTGGTAATGGCTCTTTTGTTTTCTAGTCTAAGAGCTTGTTATTTGTATGTTCATTTGTGTTGTTTCTTTCTCCTCCAAGTATGAGTGAGATCATAATGGTGCTTGACTTCCTCTCTCTGGCTTAGTTCACAAGGCATCATGTTTTCTCCATGTTTCAACTTCCATGTTTTACAAAAACACTGATACAGGTACATTAAGGTCACTCCAGGTGCTTTAGCACACCTGTCTAAGAAAAGGAGATTTTGGATGAGCCTTAGGTATATACAGCTTAGTTTACAGACAAGGTGAATGGGGTGTGGGAGAGGATGCACAATGCAGAATGAACAACTGTGGTCAACACCCAGACGTATGAAAGTATTTGTTTGCAAATAGAACCAGGTGGGAACTGTTTAGTTTTTCTCAGATGTTGCCACGGCGCTACACCATACTTAAGCCTCGTTAAAAACCGGGTCTAAGGCGCCACCTGGTGGCAGCCTCTGATACCAACCAGGCAGAAACAACCGGTGGAATAACTGCCCACACTTCTCTTCCGCACTGTGCTGAACTGTTTCGCTCCATGCTGTGAACAGGCTTGTTGGACAGAACAACATGAACCACCCCCCACGTGGTGCAAGGGGTTAAGACTCTGCACTATGAAGCTCTCTGCAGCCACTGCAGCATGAGTTTGATCCCCAGCCAGGGAGCTGACCCACATGGCGCAGCAGACCTCTCCTGTCTCCCCGCTGCTCCCCTCAGCAGTGTATTTCAGTCAGTCCACCTGTTCTGCTCCCCACTCTGTCTCTGTTGAATCCTCTCACTGACCTGCACCCCAGCTTTTATATGCATAAAAATACATATTTAAAAAAGTAATAAAACAACAATGAAGGAATAGTTTTTACTTAAATTTGCAGTTTCCCAACTACCAAAAGAATACATAGTAGAAAATTTGGAAAGTATATAAAAAGAACAAAGAAGAAAAGATCACCCTTAATTTCTTAATCCTTAATCACCCTGAGTAACCATTATCAACACATCGGTACACTTGCATCCAGTGTTTTCCTCTGCAATAATTTTCACAGAGCTGAAGATTAATATGTATCTCTAGTTACACATACCTATCTATAGATAGATAAGGGTTCAGTTGTGCTTAGACATGTTCAGTAATTTTGTGACAAGGCTTGATGTGGGTGTAAGGAGCTAGGAGGTCACACCATCCTGAGTTTGAATCCTGACTTTGCCTTTACCAACTGTGTGATTTGCACAAGTTACTTCCCTCCTCTGAGTAGTAGCTTCTTTTACCACCTGTAAAATGTGCTTAATAACAGAGCACAAGTCCCAGGGTATCATGCAGATGAAGATGCAAAACACTGAGTACGGTGCCTGGATAGAAAGTTTCTCACTAATTGCCATGTAAAGTTTAGTTTGCCTTTCTGATTCATAGCAGAAAAATCTGGAAATGGGATGAATTTCTGGGTCCAAGTATATGATAGTTTGATCATTTGCCAAAATTGAGAGGAAAATTTCAACCAAGATCTAGTGTCTCTAGCATCGCAGCTGTTCTCATTTGTCTCTATATTCTTCCAGCCCTGTTTACACTGAACGCTTCTAAGCATTGTAATTACAATGCTTTCACCAGTTTGCTTAACATTATAGCAGAGACATCTCCCTAAGCAACTTAAGCTGTCATTGACACCACAATTTACTTGACTAGTTCCTTGTTGTTGAATATCTGAGTGGTTTAATTTTTCATTCCTTCATCTGAGAAATAGTTTTGAATGCCTATTCTTCCAGGCACCAAGCTGGGCATTGGGATGTGGCCCAAGAGAATGTCCTTAAATTGGCTCCTGGACTCCGGTCAGTGAGACAGACCATTCCCTGCACTTTTACAGACAAACCATGAAAAATAAAAGGGAAGTAAAAACTCTACTTCGAAGAGTGAAAGGAAAGGAGAAAAGCTCTACAGGGAACTCCTTGTGAACATATTTGTGTATTTTTTGGAATTAGTCCTAGTCCCTCACCAGCGCTTTGCTCCTCAGTAGCCACAGCTGGAGCTTCTCTTTGAAGAATTCCCCTGTGGATTTTCTGCTAACACATTTAAGAGTTTCCTGAGAAGTCAGAGTGCTTTGTGGTGTTCAAAGACCTGACAGGGAGCTCAGATCAAACTTGTTTCCTGTCTCCCTCCCTTGAGAGTGTATGTCAACTGGTCCAGTCTGTTCTCTGCTCTGAAGAGGCTTGTAACGATTCCCTACTTAAATCTACATTCATGACACCTTTTTCCTGCCTCCTTCACAATACAGGACCTTGAAGAGCCCTGGGAACCTTCAAACCAATAGGCAAAGGTGCTTCCTTTTCCGGGAGAATCCTGGATGGGGAAGAGTTGGTGGGTATAGCACAGGCTACATTTCAGCCCCTAAGGTCACCAGCATGTCTGAACATGGCAGCCCTGCCCAGGGCCTCTGGAATGGCCATTCTACCTACTTTCTAGCAATCTGCTTATTAGGTGCTTGGGTAAAATATACTTAATGTCCTGTTGCTTATATGAAGTCTTCCCAAGCTCTCTAATTCACAGGAAGTTTTCCATTCCTTGAATGCCTCAATAATTTTTAGTTTTTACTCCTTGTCTTGCTTGGCACTTAGGTGTATGCTGTCTTTAATTTCTATTATTCTCCTCTCTTGTATCATTATTTCATCTTCAAGAGATTTGATTTAGATTTAGAGGTCTGAGGTAAGAGGTATCTCTGTGAACATATAGTTTACACTGAATGCTGAAAAAGTAGGTAGAGGTCTAGGAAAAAAGAATATTCCAGGCAGAGGGATGGCACACACAAAACCCTTGAGGCAGATTTGTGAGCTTATAAGGCCAAAATGCTTTGGAATTCTATGTGGAATGACCTTTCCAGATTTAACAAATTGGAGAACAACTTACTAAGTCATGCATTCATACTGCTTTCTGAGGGTCTCTATTCCATAGTCTCTGATAATGGGGATTGAGATGAATCAGACCAGACATGTTTCTTCTAAGACTAATGGATGATTTCTACAGTCAGACAGACAGACCATGTTGAAGGGCTACCATGCATGTCAGTAGGAAAGAGATAGTAACTGCCTGTGGATATTGAGAAAAGCTTACCCAAGAAGAAGAATCTGAGTAGGGTCTGAGGTAAGAGGTATCTCTGTGAACAATAGTTTACACTGAATGCTGAAAAAGTAAGTAGAGGTCTAGGAAAAAAGAATATTCCAGGCAGAGGGAATGGCACATTCCATTTTCCAGGCAGAGACATAAAAGAAGTCCAGACTGAGGGAACAGTTGTGTTCAGAGGCATGGAGGCAGGGAGTGGAGGGTGGATTCAGAGAATGGAAACCAAAATGTCTCTTAGGACAATGAACATGCTTGGGTTTTACTTGAAGATGGTGAAAAAACCAGGAGAGTTTCCTGAGTGGAAGAGCAGCAGGCAGGGCTACTGTGTGGAGGATGGATGGGGGTATGTGGATACTGGAGTCAGGGAGACCCTTGAGGAGGCTGGTGCATTGACACAGTCTACAGGCCCATGTTGGGACAATAACAATGAGGATGAATAAGAAATAAAAGGTAGGAGAGACATTTCAATATTAAACTTAAGAGACTTGGAGATGGACTAGATTTTGGAAGCCAGGGAGAGGAGTAAGTGAAGACTTAGCAACTTTCAAAGATGGGTGGCTGGGTAAAAGTGGTGTCCCTTACCAGGAATAGGTATGCCAGGGGGGATGATAAGATTGGGGGGACCATAGGTTGGTGAGGAGAGACTGGGGAGGGGGACAATAATGAGGTCTTTCTTTGGTACCATAGACAACTCCAGGGATTCCCCGGAATAGCCCATCATTCTTGATCCAGGCTGCCTTGAAGTTAGCAGAGCAGCTAATCTAACGTGCAGATTTCCCTGCTGTCCTGTGTTGAGTCTCTGGAGATGGAGCTTGGGAGTCTGATTCTAAGTAACCCAAGTGATTCAAGTGCAGTGAGGTGATTTTACTTAAAGACTGAAGTAAACCCATGCTGGGCTCCTGGGGGAAGAGTGGAGTGTGCCTCTTGCGCTAAAAGGAAGGCTAGGCCTTCTGAATTCACGACAGGACATTTCAATGCAGTTTCTTTGCCTAGTGAACTCAATGTCCACTGATGGATAAGCAGTGTGGTATGTAACATACATGGGACATCATTCACTCTTAAAAAGAAATTGATCCGTTACTATATGGATGAATCTAGAAGGCACTTAGCTGAGTGAAGTTAGCTAGACACAAAGAGATGGACTTGGTGTGTCTGCACTTAAAGGAGATACTTCATCAAGTTCAGGGAGACAGAATGTGGAATGGTGGTTGTTAGGGGGTGGGGGATGGCCAGTGGGGAGTTACTTAATGGGTGCAGGGTATCACTTTGGGAAGACAGCACCGTGTTGGGGAATGTACTTAGTGCCACTGAGCTGTACATTTAAAAATGATTTGAAGGATAAATTTTGCTACATTTATATAACAGTCCAATAAAAATGGCATCATAACTGGGGACCCGTGGGGCTTCTCCATGACTTTCATCCCACAGGGAGCTTCCTGAGAACAGGGAAAGGAGTCTTCCCGCTGAGCCAGGGGGTTCCCCAAGTTGTTGCTTCAAATGACAGCTGCTCCCGAGGGCCTGGATATGTCCTGTCCATCTTCAGACAGACGTGCCTCCCTACGGCGGAGTTCCCAGTCAAGGGTGAGGTTGTGCCTCTCCCATCAGACCGGGAGTTATCCTAGACGGAATCTATGGGGGGAGAGGCAAGGTGGGCCTCTTGTTCGGGGGTCATGTCTCATAGGCTTAGGCGCCTCATAAATGCCTTTCTTTCTGCACTCCAGATTCTCCTCTCAAATCCCGCGCCTCGGAACCCGGCTGATTTCTGGCTGGGCGGGCTCCGGAGGCCATTTGCCCTCATCCAAGATGGCCGCCGCCGCCTCTGTGACAGGCCTGGTCACGTGAGCCCGCCCGCCTATGAGGTCGCCGGGCTCGGGCGGCAATTGTCCCTTCCGGGGCCCCATCCCCAGGCGGCGACTGCCCTTGTCAACCCGAGCCTGAGCGATCATGGCAACGGGCTCGGGCGGGGAGCGCGTGGCAGCGGCGGTGGCGGCAGCAGTTTGGTCGCGGGCCGGGGCGGCGGAGCGGCGGCGGCGGCGGCGGTGGCACTGGCGCTGGCACCGGCCCTGAGCGCCATGCAGCGGAGCGACTCGGAGAAGCAGCTGGCGACCGGGTGTGAGGCGAAGGCGGAGGCCGCGACCGAAGCGCAGGCGGCGGCGGACGCGGGCGCGGCCGGAGAGCCGGAGCTCAAGGCGCGGGAGGAGCCGCCCAGGGAGCCGGTCCCGGAGCAGCCCCGCGCGGCGGAGGAGGGGGACGCCCGCGACCTCCAGCAGCCGCCGCCCTCGCGGTCCCCGTCCAAGGCGAAGCCGAAGCCGGCGTCCACGCGGGGCCGCAGCTCGCACGCCAAGCCCAGGAGCAAGGGCCGAAGCTGCCCGCGGAGCCCGGGCTGCCAGTCCCAGGAGTATGCCTCTTGGCGACCCGTCACCGTGGACAGCTCCAAGGCCAGGACCTCTTTGGACGCCCTGAAGATCAGCATCCGGCAGCTCAAGTGGAAGGAGGTGAGGCCCGGCCCGGTCCGTGGGTGCAGGGGGGTGGGCTGGACACCTCAGAGGACCGGCGCGGCCCAGGCCAGCTCTGAGGGCCGAGCTCCGGGCGTGCCACGCTGAGCCTGCATGCTAGCCACAAGCTGTTCATCCTTCAAAGCTAGCCCAGGTCACTTCCTCCAAGGAGGCTTTCAGACCCCTCCAGGTCAGGTGGCCGCTCCTCCTTCAGACTCCCTGACAACTCTGTGAAGGCTCAGTGTTGGGCGCCTGCAGGAGCGCTCCTCTCCCTACTTTGTAGAAATTTGTTTCTATGCCTGTCTCCCTCCACCAGCTGTGAGGCCCTTGCTGCAGCCCTCTCTCTCTCTCACCTCTTTATTTAAGTTATATTTGCTTAGCACTTACTGCATGATTCTTGCACCGTTCAACAGTTTGTATTTTGAGGCGGACAGACCTAGGGTATCACTACATCCTGCCACTTGGCAGTGTGACCTCAGGCAAACTCCTCCGCTGAAGCCTGTTTCCTGGTTTGCAAAGCGAGACTTGGAAGACCTCTCTCGCAGTTCTGCTAGCATGAGAAGAGTCACTGCCTCTTGTAGTATGCACAGGGGTGCAATAAACGGTGACTGGCCTTACCATCCTCTCCTCTCTGTCCTCCACCATCACCGTCACCATCAGCATAGTATATATTGTATGAGCCAAGGCTTGGCACATGACAGCTGTCAGTAAGTGGTAGATGGAAAGGTGAAGGAATGAATGGGTTGTTTGTCCCTGAGCCCAGTTTAGATCTGTTGGGGCTGGGACGAAGCACCAAAGACATGGAGATGCCCAGGGAAGCAGGTTGAGGGTGGCCCTGAGGTTTTCAGGAGTGTCAGGGTTGCTGTCTAGTGCGGGCAAGTCTGGAGGTAGACCCAGGTGGTCACTGAGGAACCAGGACCTGCAGCAGACACTGAGAACTCCGTCTTGGTTCTGGTGGATGTTCAGGAATGACTTTATGAAATGGGACTGTGCAGGGATATGGCTATGAAAGGATCGATGGTCAGAGGTTGGTGTCTCAGCATGAATGAGTCATGTGTTTTGGAGGGAAAGACAGACTTCTGGGTAAGGGCAGTCTCATTCCACGTGTCAGGGCCTTCAGCTTGGCCTTGGAATTGGGGGAGGACTTTTGGGTCTGGGAAACATGGAGAAGGTGGGCATTCTGGAAGGGCCCTGGGTCTAGGCCAGATATGAAGACCAGAACAAGAGAAAACTAAAGAACTTGTCAGACCCATGATCCTCATGAAGAGAGATTCCATGGACTGAAGCGAGGCTCCAGAGTCAGGCAAGGCGCTTGGCCCCAGCAGAGCCTGTGCTGAGCTTAGCCCTATGGGAGAGACACATGTAGCTTGCTGGATCCCCAGAGGAGCACTGAGCCTTGTAGACGCAGAAATCTGCAGGCGAACATGGCAGCGCAGATTCACTCACTCCTCTAAGTGACTGTGGAAGCTGGGCCCTGCACGCACCAAAGATGTCTGAGATCTGACCCTTGCTCTCAGGACCTTATAGTTCAGGGGATGGAACCCAAACGAAGGATTCATTGTACTATTGCAGAGCCTCTGCTCTCGTTCCTGAAATGCTCTTTCCCCAGTTATTTGCTTGGCTTACTCTGTTTTCAGAGCACTGATCAAATGCCACCTCCTCCGGGAAGCCTTCCCTGCTGATTCCTGCACCCACCCTTGTGCTTCTTTTATTATTATTGTTGTTGCTGTTTTTGTTGTTTATAGCTTTGAAATCTGCCTGACATATTTTGTATTGCTTGTTTATTGTCTGTTTCCCTCATTAGAATGTAAGCTCCACGAGGGCAGGGATTTACTGTGACTTACTGCTGTATCTTCAGGTGCAGAGAAATTGCTCAATAAATGTTTGATGAATGGATAAATACATTATGTGATGAGTGTTTCTCTCTAATGAAGGCAGAAGGTCCAGGAGGGGAAACCTCAGGAAGCTTCTCGGAGGAGAGAAACCCGAGCTGAGTTCTGAGTGCTGAAAAGGATTAGGAATTACTTAGGGGTCAGTGACTGGAACCCTTGTAGAGGAAGTAGTATGGGCAAAATCTGCATGGAATTCTGTAAAGTTGGATTACAGAGTGGGCCACGAATGGTGAGAGGTGGGCTGGAGAAGTGAGTGGGGGTGGATTATGTGTCACGCTGTGAGTTCTGGACTTTTTTTTTTAAAGATTTATTTAAAAATTTATGTTTACAGAACTGGGGTACAGGTCACCGGTGAGGGGGGTGAGAGGATTCACCAGAAACAGAGTGGGGAGCAGAACAGGCAGATTGACAAAGTACACTGCTGAGGGGAGCAGCGGGCGAGAAAAGAGAGGTCTGCTGCACCATGTGGGTCACCTCCCTGGCCAGGGATCAGACACGCGCTGAAGTGGCTGAGGCTGCACTTTAACACGTTGCACTACCAGGAAGGGCCCCTATTCCAGTCGACTTTAAAATATAATCCACTCACAAGCATAAGACTTTACTATGAAATGTGTGATTCTTTACTGAATGTCACTCTTCTCAACTAGTCTTGTGGTCCTGAGTGCAGGAGTGATATTGACATGTGTCCCCAATGCTTTAATAGAACACACATTGGTGTTCAATAAACATCATCTCACGAGTAGAGGAAATACAACAGAGCTCACATCTCCTCTCAATTCCCTGGAATGTGAAGTCTAAGAAGTACCAGACTAGAAATACTTTAAAATTTCTTACGACTTTAAAGTAGTATCAGCACCTACTACAAAGTTGACTGCATACCAAGGAACCTGTGGCATAAACCAGGCTCTACCACTGTGCAAGCATAGCCCAGGCCTCAGTTTCCCCAGCTTTACAGGGAAGGTGCTAGACGAGGTCATCTCTCTGTACTGACATTCTAGGAGCAGGAATCTCTGCAGGGGCTGGGGCCTGAGTGCGCCCCAGTGGCCCTGCCAGTTGTGTGTACTGCTGGCTGGTGGGCTTCAAGGGGTGGGCAGGTGTCATGAGCACCAACTGAAGTGAGAGTTCTGCCTCCTCCTGTGAGTGCGCAGAGAGGGGCCCTGAGCAGGCCAGCGCCAACCCACCAGCGCGCTCACCCTCTTCCTCCCTTCTTTATTCTGCACACATTCCTGGCCATGTAGCAGCCACTGTCATGAGCTCACAGGGCTCTGTGCCGGGCACTCGGCTAAGTGCTTTCAGATTTGCACCGATTTGCTTCTTCAACAGCCCAATTCAGTAAGCTCCAGATAGTCTCCGTTTCATGGGGCAGGAGGATGGGGCACAGAGAAGCTAACTTAGCCTACACCGTCCAGCTGGCAAGTGGCAGGACTAGCACTGGCAAGAGGCTGTCCATTCAAAACCAGCCTTCAGTTTGTGCTCTTCCCGGCCCCCTGTGGGCGCCACTGGCTGGCCCTGGTTTAAGCGTTACAGTAGGATATGAATGGGATTCACTTCTTGCCCTCCAGCAGCTCCTGGAGTCAAAGGACAGCCAAGCACACATTTACTGTCTCCATTCCAGAGTTGAACGGCTAAAGGACATTTCCTACAGAGATGGAACAAAGGCAGAAGGGATCATAGCAGCTTTGGGAGGATGCTGGAGAGTGGAGAGAAGGAGAAGAAGGTGCCAGATCACAAAGGCTGGCCCAGATTCTCCTCCATAGACGGAGTTTGCTTTGCCCTAGTGAACCACCTAAGTCTTGGATGGTTCCCTTTTCGGTCCTCTCTACACGGGGCAGGTCCATTTCAACTGTGTCCACAATGTTCAATTTATTCCTCAAAGGAAACTTCACAAATGTTTGCTCTATAAACTTGTCGGCAAGACAAAAGTTCATTCTTCACGACTTCATAGCGAAGTCGTGTTTACAGAGTCTCCATGAAGTGGCAACAGGAGAGAGAGGCTCCCTGCTCGTAGCTCCACCGACTGCCTGCTCCTTTTCCAATTGTGGGAGTTTCCCCCCATGTACCACCCCTACCATAGTTTTTTGTGGTGTTGACACCCTGGTTGAAGGAAACCCCAGGGAAAAGACACCCTGGAGAATAGCTGCCGCTCCGTGTGGGCTGCCCTCCTTGGAGATGGAGGTTGTGTATGTGTGCCGGCTGGTGCCATGGACACCACTTTCAGGAAGCAGAGACTTGACAGAAGGACTTATGTTGACCACAGTTAGCATGAGCCCCAACCCAAGATCTTTGTTTCATAGACTCCAAACTTGTCACTGAAATTCTTCCTGCCTTTTTCAGAATCTGTGCCCCTCCCTTGTTCCTGCTCGGAACTTGCGTGGGTGTTATGCCTGTGGACGAGGTATCCCTGGGGTGCTGAGCACTACCTGTTAGGGATTGTGCCCAACTTTTCCTGGGATCAGTTTATGTAACGCTCACAGTAACCCTCTGAAGTAGATCTGGTTGTTGTTTCCAACGTACGGATGAGGAAACAGTTCCAGAGACAGGCGGACCCAAGCCAAGCTCCTTCACGAGAAGCCCCCTGCAAGGAGTTGTTCTATATTATGCCACGCTAGCAACTCCAGGGCTGAGGAGTGAGCCCCAAGGAAGTGGTGGGGCAGGAAGTCGGGGGCGGCCGGCAGCCCACCTTGTCCCCAGACCTGCTTCTCAGTGCGGTTCCACTTTTCCATGTGTCTCTACTTCTCCTTCCTTAGCCTTATGGCCTGGACGCTCTCCCGCAACAGGGCAGCTGCTCAGAGTCAGAGAGCCATGGGGCACAGAGAACTGAAAGGAAAACATGCTGAAATATAATTTGCCTGGCAGAGGAGCATTCGGGGCAGGCCCCTCCCAAGCCCTACGTCATCCCTACCAGCGAGGGAGCAGCAGCCTATGCTGCGGGACACCTTGCCCTAGGCGCAAAGTGAGCCGACCTGGGGGTGACCTTGACCCAGACTTGTGTGGTGAAGGCAGAGTGGAAACTGAAGCGCTGGCCAGTTTAACATCCCCTGCTTTCTCATTTGAATGGCAGTCATCATGACTTATGTTCCACTTTTTGGAAACAGCATTATATTTAAG